CTTCACTGGAGAAATTGTAAAAAGTCCACAGCAGATAAGCCTTTCAAATAAATCTGAATGTCTTTGTGTAGCAAAGTAATGAATGTTTCTCCTGCTGATATCAATAATGGAAATCTGTGCTCAACAGCTTGCTGGTTGAGTGACATTTAATTACAGCAGCGTTAGCAAATTAAATGGCAGATTCTCTGTAGCGAGCTTATTTGTGAAGGTTACCTGTGTATGTGACACAAAAATAACTATACCTTTATGAGTAAGAAGTTAAGTAGCCCAGTCACACTCACCTATTGTCAGTAAGTGTTTGCACCAAGTTATGTTGAAATATCGATGTGCCCAATGGTTTGTGAGCATTGAAGCTATCTTTCTCTTGGGTCTAATCAAAATTTTCAAGAGACCACCACCAGTAAAAAAATAAAAACTAAACCAGAGACCAATATTTAACATAAAACTTTCTGTTTATGTGCTTCCAAATAAGTTCTAGAATCTGCTAAAATGTCACAAACTGCAAAGTCAGTGGGCTACCACCCCTCAGCATAGAAAGTCAGGCATCTTCAGCATCAAGACGAAGAGGGGTTCTGCTAAAATGTCACAAACTGCAAAGTCAGTGGGCTACCACCCCTCAGCATAGAAAGGCATCTTCAGCATCAAGACAAAGAGGGGTCACCTTGTACAGTGAACTAAATTTCAATGTCAGCGGGAGATTAACTCTATCCCTGCCGAAACCAGGACAGAGACTCAAGAACACGTTGTTAACGTGGGCTCCCACAGGTGCAGGTGGGATCCCAAACTGGCTTGCTATTTTTCAAGTTACGCTTTCTTTGCAGTTCTGGTAGGATACAGGTACAAGGACCTAGAGATTATTATTTGTGGTGTTTTGATTCTGCTTGCACATTGGCAGTGCAACCAGGATTGCAGTTTCTTGTACAAGGGGGCTGTATCAACACCTCCGCCCAGGGTACATCGACCTTCCTGAGTGGTTTTGGGAAGTCGCTGCACAGCCTGCGTGCGAGGCAAACTCCTGGGCTACCCACTGGTATGGTGTATTTCAAAATATCCTCATTTCCCCTCCTTTTCCACCCAAAACATATTTCAGCCTTTAATTAGTACCCAGAACTGCATTTTTTTCTCTGCTCTAACACACAAATTTGTGAATTTAGTCTATTTCCTACTGCAAATGTTTCTGTCAAATCCTAAGAGAAATAAGCAACTGGTTAACACATTTCTAAATATTTATAAAACGATAAGAACCGATTAATATTTAATGTTGCCAAGAGGTTTTGTCTACTGACATCTGCAATCAACAGTTTCAAAAGATAGCATAATTTCAGGGCAGAGATGCATAAATAGTATATTATTTGCCTGTTCTGCACCAATTACTTCTTCAGACTGTGCATAACCAGTGAAGGGATTAATTACTTTCAGACACAGAAGTTCATTGATCAATACGAAAGACTCCACGAAGGGAAAAAACAATAATTAAAGGAAGTTACTGTGAAGATTTACACATCTTATTTAAGGCGGACCACCAAGGCCCCTGCGACTTCAGGAGCTGGAGGGCTCTAAAACAGGATATTTTTACTGTACCGGCTGGTGGAGGAGCTGTGATTAAGAGATTTTCAGCATCCCAGAACTAAATTCCAGGTGGAAACAAACTGGGAAGTGTTACAAAACACAAAGAGGTTGCATTTGCCAGGGAGCTGAGTCAGGCACTAGAATTTTCTCCGGGCATCAGGGTCTGTGCTTTTCCCATTCACACGTGGGCTTTCTTCCTTCTCTGTTCAGGATTAAACTACCGTTAACTAACCTAGGAAGGCAGCAAATGATGAATTGTCAATTATTTAGTTACTGGAAGGTAAATTCCTAGAATCTGGGTATTATATCTGTACAACTTTTCCTCTTGCCGAGTGGAAGGGGAGTGTGTGTGTATGTCTATCTCAAGAAAAGCATTCAGGACCTCCTTGTATTTGTCTTTCCCTGTGATGAGATCTCAGCCTTATCCAGACCCAATCTGCCCCAACAGCAAGAGAAAATTCAGGGACAGACTCGTGGCTTTACTTGCCGCTGCAACTTGGGTTAAAGTTTCTATCGTGTCTCCCTCTGCCTGCTTTTACTGCATTGCGTCAAAGCGAGCTCTGGGATTTTCAAAGGTAAAACAAATGCTGCCAGTAGGATCCCCACAGCCCTGAGAGCATCTCAGCACGCAAACATACGCTTCTGTCCTCCCTCCCAGCAGTTTACCTTAGCAGCAAGGCAGGACTCGGGGTGACAAACCAAGCTGGACGGTCACTGCAGCTTGTCACTCTCTGCAGCTCATTGCCACGGCTGTGACTCACACATTTCCTGCAGAGTCGTGAAATTTCTCCTCTAGCTGCAATACATTAAAAACAACATAAGGAGTGGGGATCGGGCTGAGATACACTGCAAGGAGAAATGTGTTTGCTGGTATATCTCTAAACGTGCTGGTTTGAGAGCGTCCCTAGCAGCCTGGTTGCAACACTTTGGAGAGCTGCAAGCTGTATTGCTTCCCAGAAGTGAAAAGGATACAAAGGACTGGACAAAGGAGGAGTTTATCTGCAAAAAAGACATGAAAGAGGAAGCAAAATCAGGTAATTGCAAAGTTAAAAGGAGCTCAGAGTGCTTGCAGAAAGGCAGGATGAGGGCAGTGGTTTTAATATATGCCAGCCTGCAAAAAAGACATGAAAGAGGAAGCAAACTCAGGTAATGGCAAAGTTAAAAGGAGCTCAGAGTGCCTGCAGAAAGGCAGGATGGGGGCAGTGGTTTTAATATATGCCAGTCTATTTAACAGTGGTTTGGCTTTAATGGCTGTGATGATAGTTTCTAATCTGGTGCATAACATGTTTTTTGCTGTGTAGGAGCAGAAACTCTCTCCCAACTGAAGTGCCGTGCTAAGCATTTTCTGACAGGGCACTTAGGTGACTTTCCAAGCACCTTCTCTTAGGCTCAATATTCTGCTGTGTTTGAACTAGGGTATCGCATACCAAAAGGAGCGGGTCTCCTGCAATCCCATCAATAGCTTTTAAAAGCGCTGAGCAAAACAGCGTGGTCGAGTCTCTGGCCCGTGGTACTGCAAGCAGCCCCCACTGCTCACCGCCACTTTCCTGGAGACAGAAAACAAAATCTGCTTTGTAAGAATAAGTCTGCATGTAGAAAAATCTCCATTAAAAGCAGAAGGGAAACATGAAAAGAAAGACTTGTAAGAAGAGATCTTGCTGAAGAAAGGGAAAAGGAATTTGTGTGTTTGCCTTCTAGTTCTCGAAAGCATCAAAAAATACAAAAAAGTAGAGGAAAAAAAAAGTGCACTTAGAAACGATACTCGGACTCCCTGAACAGGAGTTACTGGAATTACTACGTATGAGTACAAACTCTGTTTCCTGAGCGGTTTTACCAAAGCTGCTTTCTCTTTCTCCTGCTGTTTTTCCTGGGAACGTGTAAGGAAAGAATGATTTTAAGTGCTTACCTCATCCATCATCTTCTTTATAACTCTTTCAACACTGAGAAGGGAGATGCTTTTGGAACGCCCCTAAAGTTTGTATAAAAAGACACTTCCTTTCTCTCTGAACATAGCCATCGAGGAGAACCAATGCAAATCAACTGATACCATGAATTCAGTGTAAAAATTAAAAGTTACCCCCAAGCCCTACGCAAAAAATCCATCTAGCTGAAAGTGATTGTGAGAAGTTTTAGGGCAGCCGCATAATGCCTGTTTTAATGTGGGTTTCCATGGGCTTAGTTTATTTAAAATGGTTTAATTTGCAGCATTAGTCTAGTACTTGCCCTTAGCACAAGGTTTAATTTTATGCATCATATGCAAAGGATACGGCTTTCAGAATTGTCAGGCTTTGCTGCTCTTTGATCTGTTCCTATTTTGTGCCTCATCACAGACTGGACCTTTCTTTGGCTCATACTCAAAACTTTAAATGGCCCTGACAAATTCTCAGTAGAAAATGAGCCTCTTCAGTCCACAGTGGATTGACTTAAGATAGTACCCTGGACAGGCAGCTCTTTCAAGTAGCAGAGAGAACTCCCCGCACGTTGTCCTTCCCTCTAACACCTCACCCCAGCTTTTTTTTTTTTTTTTAAAAAGTATACAGGCATTGCTCCAAGCATCACCCATATCAGCAGTCATTCTTCTCTTTCATTGCTGAACTGTCAGACATTGAACAACTTCCTACCAACGTTTAACAGCCATGTTTGCATTTTGCTTTTGTATTGGTTTGTTAAAACTCCTCCTTTTTTCGGAAGGCAAAAGGGAGCTTGTTCTTGTGTGCATACAACAGCCCAGTGAGACCCATCCCAAAGCTAAGAGCACATGCAGACTCCAGTGTATTTTTACCATTGTAAGATTTCCACGTGAAATTTTACAGCCCCATCAAGAAATTCTTTGTCCACCTATTAGCCCCCCAAGCGTACCAGCTAGAGACAGAAACCAGTATCCCATATCCTGTTACACAAGCTTGAAAGATGAGTGTGATACACCACTTTATCAACCTTTTAAGTGCATTAGTGACACATATGAGTGTGATACACCACTTTATCAACCTTAAGTGCATTAGTGACACGACACATACAAAGAATCTGTGTAAGCATTTCTTTAACTTTATTGACTAGCTTTATTGCACATACTTAATGAAGCCTCCATTATTTTACCCACCCAAGGTTTCCATAATTATTTTAAATGCAAGTTAAAGATAACTTTCATTCCCATGACTTATTTTTTTCCCCCCATTTTAAATTTTAAGGTTCTGAATCACCCAAGAAAGACATAACCCCTGAATTCATACGTGTAGACCATGCAGCATTCAGGGAGCAAGCCAGTGGGTGCTCTGCAAGCATACTGATACTCTGCACAGAGAGAAACATCATAGATCATTAACTTTAAACCTCAGTAGTCACTGAATTAAATATGTGAGACTGCAATTTTAGCTCAGTCAATCATTGTTTATTCTGTTGACCTGATGAGAAAGCTAGACTGCCTAAAAAAATCAAGCCTTCTTTTTCACTTCACTCTCTTCCTTTCCTGCTGCTTCTTTCTCTTCCTTCTCCTCCTCACCAGTTTCCTCAGCAGTTTCCTGAGACTCCTCCCCTTCTTCAGCTGCTGTTTCTTCCCCTTCTCCTTCCTCTTCCTCGCCCTCTTTGGCTTCTTCAGATTCTTCCTTAGCACCTTTGAAAGACAAAAAGAAATATTTCACATCTATGTACTGTTCTAATCCCAATTTAACAGGAGCCAGCATACCTGCATCCTTCAACCCCACACATTTGGATGGCAGCCAGCTAAACGTGACAAGGCTGGCAACTGATGTTGCATGAAAGCAGGGACATTTCTCTAGGACTTGCAAGGGAGACCAACAACACTACACAACCCACTTATCCTAGATTTCAGAGGGAGTGAAACACTTTATAGGTCTTTTCAAAATCATGGCCTTGAAAAATACTAATTGACTGTGGACTTATTGCTTTAAGCCTTATCTGAAGACTTGAGTTCAAAAAGGAATCTTGCCATTGCTCTCTGATTGGCTCTTTAGCTATAATTTCATTATAATTAATCTTTACACTAATAAACTCCTAGAATAGTTCAATGGTAACCAATGCATTTCAGGTATGTTTAGGTTAAATCCTTCAGAGCTGTGCAACTGAAGTTGGGAAAAGCAACTCTGGCTAACATTCCTTTTACATTGTCTTTAAAATGCGAGTTTGGTAAATAAGTTGTGGGGCAGCAAGGAAGTGGCATATACTTTGATTGAACAAGAAAACTACCTAGACCTCAGGCAACAGATACAGCTATCCACTGAACCCAACAGTTACATCCACAAACATCAGCTGATGTTCCTATTATCACGAGCTACTCTCTGGGAATTAGTATTTAGCTCAGAATGTCCTTGTTCCTTCTTTTTGAGAACGTCTGTAATAGCTAAGTACTGTTTGCTGCCATATGAATATAACATTACACACTTAAAGTATTATTTGTGTTTTTGGAAACTTGAATGGAAAACACACCCAGCGATTTCCAATGGAGTATAATCAGTCCTATAATCTGCCTGATATTGAACGTTTACCTTATCTTCCATTCAATATTAAGGCTTTCCTGCTTAAGTGCTGTGTGCTTAATCCCACGATCCTTTGCTCATGTGAGCAGACAATGAGAGGTCTAATCATTAGACTTAGTCATCAGGATTTCTGGGGTTTACCCCATATAAGCAGGGTGAAGCATGAAAGAGAGGGATTTGAAAGTAACCGTAAGTACCTTCCTCCTCTTCTTCAGCCTCTTCACCTCCCGCTTCTTCCTCACCTTCTTCTTTCTCTTCCTCCTCACCTTCTTCTGCAGGGGCTGCCTTGGCTTCTCCCGCTTTAGCAGCCTCAATTGTTTCCTCTATTTCAATCTGCTCTTCCTGGACATGACTGGAGTAGTACGTGGGGAAAGAACGGGCTGTCATCAAGTAGGAGCTGGACTGGAGACCACTGTAGGCAGACCTGCCAAAAGTCGGGGCAGTCTGGGTGTAGCCACTGGTGATGCTTCCAACACTAGTGAAACTGAGTCGGGTCTCTTCACCTTCCAGCAGTTTCCTAGCAGAAAAAAGCAAACAGAAACGACTTAGTTATGCTGCAGCAGTACTCAGCAGATTCAGCTATGGACTAAGATGTTATTGTGCTTTCAGCAGCACAAGCCCTAGAGACTGCATACTTCCGAGTGCAAAAACTAGCCCATAATGAGTAACTACGTGGCAACGCTACCCTATCTTCTTGGAATACTTTAAAAGTTTCAGAGGTGTGCATTACTGGTGAATTAATACTTTTCCTTGTTAGAAGAAATAATGGGGAATAAACCTCTAGGATCAGGTTCCTATAGCAGGTGAAGTTAGAGGTGTATTTTGGTAGCCTGTAGGGTTGCAGAGAACAATGCAGATGTAACAATTTGATGTTATGTTTAGCTATTAGACAAGGTTTATAGCTACTTTCTCAATATTCCCCCTTGTGGCATTCACAGAAACTGTTTTGGCATTTGCAGTTTCTAACAGTATCTGGGACATTAAACAGCTATCTAGCAGCAATTCTGCCGTAAAATATTTGCTTTGCAGGAGATTGCTTCTGTGAGTTAGAAATAAAGCCCGTTCTTAAAAGCATGTAAGGGATTTCCAATTTTGAGAATATAGCCATCTGTATTAAGAAGTTCCATTGGTACAAAATCTCTTCACTCTAAGTACAGTACAGGTATTTTTATCTGTAAAGATGGAGAACTGAGATCACATATTGCCGAGCTGAGAGTTCTATATGCATATACATACATACTATTATACTCACTGAAGTTTGCTACGCTGAAGGTTTTGCTTTCAGCAAATATTTAAAGCACTCAAAAGCATTGCTCCTTCCAATAGCAAGACAATGGAGAAGACCTGATTAAACTCTGACATCTACCTATGAAAGTTTCTGCTGGAGGAATGGTAAGTAAAATGAATTCTCTTGAAGAGAGAACAGGAATCCGATTTGCATTCTGACTTACTAAAACATTCCCCCCATCATACCTATATGCTGCAATTTCGATGTCCAGGGCCATTTTCACATTGAGCAGATCTTGATATTCCTTCAAGTACCGAGCCATTTCACTCTTCGTGGTTCTCAGCTCATTCTCCAATTTGTTAATAGTATCCTGTTGGAAGGAACGGTATTGACAGCGTAAAATTCTTAATTCTCCCATGTCTAGCAATAACACCTTGCAAGGAATTTCTCCAATCCTATTAACTTAATCTTGCTCTAGCAGACAGAGAAAATGAACAGCTCCAACTCCACCCTCAGCTAAAAAGGCAGCATTTACCAAATCCCACCTTCCCTGGCAGGATTTTCCCACCCCTACATCTACCGCTATTATTCCATCCCTATTTAATGTTAAGAGCCCAATTTTCTGCTATCCAAGGACTAAAGCGTGCATGAAATCTGTATATCGCTTCATTTTGGTTTTAGCCTCTACATGCTTTTTCTAGTTTTAGCTTAAGGCTATCTTTTTTTTTTATAGTGATCTAGTTAAGGCTTTACCGGTGTATAGGTAAGCGATATATCACACATTATAGCTCTGTGGCATTCCACATTATGGTTTTATGAAGCCTTACAGTTTAGATATGCAATATAGCTACAGCGTGAGCTAGAAGCGATGCCCCCGTTTCCAGGACGCCCCCGACAACCTCCCCCTGCAGACCCCGACCCCCTCACCTGCAGGGCGGAGATGTCGGCGCTCTGCTTCTCTTCCAGCTCCTGCAGCTGCTTCTCCAGCGCCTCGTTCATGCCGCGGGTGGCCTCGATCTCCAGCGTCTTGGCCTTGAGCAGGCGGCGGCTCTCGGAGACCTCGTCCTTGGCGGCGCGGACGGCGTCGGTGTTCTTGGCGGCGCTCTCGCTGAGGACGGTGAAGCGGCTGCGGAACCACTCCTCGGCGTTTTGCATGTTGCGAGCCGCCAGCTTCTCGTACTGAGCGCGGATGTCGCGCAGGGCGGCGGAGAGGTCGGGCTTAGCCGACACGTCCATCTCCACGGAGAGGTGCGCGTACTGGATCTGCGCCTGCAGCTCCGCCAGCTCCTCCTCATGCACCTTCTTGAGGAAGGCCAGCTCGTCCAGCAGGCTGTCCACCCGCTTCTCCAGCTCCGCCCGCGCCAGCGCCGCCTCGTCCGCGCCCTTCCGCACCTCCAGCAGCCGCGCCTCCGCGTCCTCCCGGCTCAGCACCTCCTCCTCGTAGCGCGCCTGCAGCCCGCGCAGCGTCTCCTCCAGGCTCTCCCGCTCGCCCTGCAGCGCCTGCTTCTCGCTCGTCGCCTCCTCGGCGGCCAGGCGCAGCTCGCGGATCTCCTGCTCGTAGAGGGCGCGGAAGCGGGAGGGCTCGGCGTGCTTCTGCCGCAGCACCAGCAGCTCGGCCTCCAGCACCTTGTTCTGCTGCTCCAGCTCGTGCACCCGCTCGATGAAGCAGGCGAAGCGGTCGTTGAGGTCCTGCAGCTGCGCCCGCTCCTGGCTGCGGATGGACTTGAGGTCGTTACTGATGGCCGCTACCTGGCTCAGGTCGAGGCTGTCCACCGAGTGCAGGAGGGAGCCTGAGGCGCTGGAGGTGGCGTAACTGCGCCGCACCGACACGGAGGAGACGGGCGCCGACAGGCTGGAGTACGCCGAGCGCGCCGAGCTGTAGCCGCCGCTGCCGCGCATCGCCGAGACACGGAGGC